GTTCAGTTTTGACTTTGTCATAGTACTTTGCCAGCTGTATTGTGTGTCCTGGAGCCACATCTTTTTTAACAAATTACATTAAATTAAATCATAAGTAAGCTGAGTGGCTTCAGGAGAGCAGAACCCCCCCTTTTGTGTGCAGAACAAAACCCGGTGCTGCCTGCTTTGCGGTTTCCTTGGCAAGCACACGGCTCTGCTCAGCTCTCCCTTGCTGGAGCAGCAACAGCCCTGTAACATCATCAGAACACAGGGATGATTCTGAATTCGGGGGCAGGAATCACTGACATTGAACTTGGTTACAGACCCATTCCCAGCCACAGACTGTCCCAAGACTGTCCCCTTGTCATTCTCCCAATATTCCTAAATCCATAATCCCCAAATCCGGGATCCACCAGTGCCAAAAATTCCTGGTGTGGGTTTGCAATTCCCCCCACCAGCACTACTGCCTGCAGCATCACCCCGTGCTTTAAACAAAAGCACAGTTTCCCTTTCATTAAAAACATTCCCACGGATTAAAGATTTGGAGGCCACAGCAAAGCAAGTTGAACATTTACTTTCTATTAAAACATCTAAATGAGAAGATTAAAACCTGTTTTACATTTAACAGGCAAAGTCAAATCAGCATAGGAGCAGCTTAGTGCGTACTTAGAGCCAAGGCATTCTGATGTGCAGAGGTAATCAATTTACAGAGGGAGGGATTTCCTAAAACTACTCAGAAAGGGGTAAAAAAAATAGCACGCATACATTTGAACAGATCTTTCCCTTCTGTCCCCATGGCCGCCTCCCGGAGCTGTTTTGCTGCAGCTCCAATCAGCTCGCTCCCACTGACAGCTCTTGCCCCAGATTCCCCCATAAAATATTTTCACAGCTGATTAGTCTATTTAGCACGTTGCACGCTTAAGCTCTTTTGTTTATTTTTCATTTGAGATGGCAGGAAGAGACGATCCAATGGAATGCAGAAGGGGGTTATTGACTGTGTTTAATGGCAACTGTTTGCAGGAGTAGCAGTTAGAGGTCACAGAGGTGACGCAGACACAGCTGACTGCTGCAGGAATTTCTGCTCTAATTTTCTAACATCCAAACAGACTCTGCCTGGTAACAGAAACCACTGAACTACAGCTGGTTTCTGCCAAGGCAGAATTCCCGGGGGAAGCTGAAAGTCTCCCTTTACAGGGCCAAAATCCAAGTCTATTTGTATTCGCCTGCAGCTGATCTAACAGCATTTGGATACAAGACCAGCTCTGCCCCTGCCATGCGGGTGCTGAGGCAAAGCCCCCACTGCTGCCAGGCACCTCTTCCACAGTGTGTATTAGCCAAACTTTGGGATCACCCATCCCACCAAAAGCGTTTTTTGGTGATGCAATTTCAGATGAGTGCCAAACCCACAGAGTAACACAAAGCACCATCACTGCTGGACACGGTCCTCCATCCAAACACCTGGGATCCAAACCCAGGTACTGAACCAGCACATGCTGTGATGCCCCCATGGACAGCAGGGAATGCCACAGGACTTGCACATGGATCTCAGTCCCAGGTTTCCAAGTGAGGTGCTCTAATGCAGTGAGTAGTTAATTTTATACCCCCTCTCTACAACAGCTCCAACAGATCAGTTGATCCTGCTGCCATTAAAAGGAAGGGATCAGAGCTCCCACACTCCCATATAACAGAATTAGACTGAATGCCCCCACATGTCCTAGAGGTCATCCCAAAGAGAAGTCTCTTCTTCAGTTATATAATCCTCCGTTTCAAAAGTTTATTTAAAAAGTGAAAAGCAACAGAAGGAAGTGAGGGGTAGAGTGGATGTGTGGAGCCCCCGGGGTGGAGGGCTGTTTTCTTTTAAATGATCACACAATTTCAGGGTGAAGCAGCACACAGCTAAAGGGAGAATCACGTGAAAGTGCTGCTTAACTGGCCTTGTCAGACAAGTTTTTTGGCATGAGCATGTATTATGCAAAAGAAATAATCCCTTTAACTAAAATATTTGGAAGAGGGTTGCACAGCCAGCAACCAAAGGGAGGTTTTGCCGTTATTTCTCATCTGATCGCACTGAATAAAATGGTCCAACTTACAAAGTATTTTAGGACAGAATTTGGAGGCTGTCTCTACTTGGAAGCAAATACATTTTGCCACTTGTGCAGACTAAACATACTACACGCAGACGGGAAAGTAGCTGGGTGCTGCAAGGCTCGCTGCAGAAAGCCACACGGACAATGCTCACAGGGGAAGGGTCCCAGCGCCAGCCGGCACGAGCAGGAGGCAGGGGAACAGCCCCGGGACGCTCTGCAGCCACCAAGCCCTGCACCCTGCAGCAGCCGAGTGTCGGTGCTGCCGCCGCCTTTGCTCACACTCGCACACCGGACACGGAGCCCACAGCACGGCAGCGGCTGCTGCGGCCGCCACGGGCGGCCTCCCCCGCGCCGCTCCCCGGGCACGGCCCCGGCGCTGCCCCCGCTCTGCGGAGCCACGGCGCTGGCTGCCCTACAATCGCCGTCTCCTCCAAGCCCTCATCTTGCCTGCAAACCTGCACATTCAGTGCCTTCGCAGCACCCTCCTGTGGGGATTCCGCGTCCGTACAGACACGGGGGCAGCTGCGAACGGGGCGCGATGCAAACTCTCCTCTTCCTCCTCCTCCTCCTCCGGCGAGGCGGGCACGGGCAGCTCCGGCCGGCGGCTCCGGGGCGCCAGGCCGTGCCCGCACGCCTCAGGTCCCCGGTACCGAGCGAGGCTGGATGGGTGAGAGGCGATGCCAAAAGCACCGGGGCCATCGGCACAGCCCGGACAGGCCAGGCAGCCGGGGGGGCTGCGGCCAGCGGCGCCCCCGGCACTGCTGCGCTGTGTTTATCGATAACTACTGACTCACAAACCGAGCAGCGACAGGTAATTACAAAAAGATGTAAAAATGAATAGATTTCTTTGCAGCAAGCCCTGACATACACAAAGTGCTCCTCAACTCCTTCCCTGGGGTGTGCAATTGCCCCCCACGGAGGATATCACTGCTTAAAAACCGGCTCTCAAAACCAGGAAAACCTTCATTTAGCAGCAGCACCTCGTTTGGAACCACTTTTGCATTAATACTTTTGTTTTCATGGTGATGCTGCATTTTCATTCAGATACTTTAAAGCATTTTTGTCACAAGTTGCAGTGATTTTGCACAACACTTTGCACCTCAATGAAAACCTAACACTGTTCTTATTTTTAAGAAAAAGAAGATTTGAGAAAGTTTATAATTATTATGTTACTATACATTTAAGTTTTTTAAAAAATTGTGTTTTATCTACACTCTTAATGCAGAGCATTCAGAGTGGTGCCAAGATACACAAACTCCAGATATTGCTGCAAAATTAGACTTGGATAAATCTCAAATCTGAATCACTGATTGCCCTCCAGGTTACACAGCAATTTAACATCCTTCAGCATGTGACTTGCAGAGAGCAAACAAACCAGTTCTCTTGTGCAACGGGCAGTAAGAACATGGATATGGCATCATTCACTTTTGAAGCATCTCACACCAAATTAATTCATCTTAATAGATGATGTTTTTGCAGGAACAAACCGATTTTTTTGCTTTCCAAATGAAGGATTTTCAAACAAGTCTGGCAGATGAGCATTAGGTGAAGCGCAGACACACTACAGACACACCTCTCTAGTTTAGATGCTCTAAAGCAATGCAAGAGCAAATCGTGAGAGAGATGATAATCCCTCATCTACTTTTTCCTCCACCTAACGAAAAAAGTTCCTTCCATACCCTCACTGCCTGGCAATGAACGCTTTCACCACTCAGGAGTGGCACATTGCTCCCATCCCTGGAGCACTCAAGTATCCTGTCATGGAAAAGAACAGGCCAGAGAATCAATCAGACAGAAGCTGTCAGAAAAGAGCATCTAGTCTGGAAAATTCAGGTGCAAAACTGCAATTAAAGACTGCCTTCCCATTGCCAGAAAGCCTTTCCTAACCATCATCCCGGACAGGAACTAAAACCTTCTCTTAAAAGTTAAAAATTCATTGCGCTCGTCAAACTCTGAGAAAGGAAGAGCTGCTCAGCTACCAAATTCTGCAGACATAACTGAGCCTTGCTCTTCCAGGGCAAAGAAAGGCTGAGGCTGATGGGAAGCAGGTGTATGGAGGCTGGAGGCAAAGGCAGAAAATCCATCCAGCAGAAGCAAGGAAGGTAGGGAATAAGATGTGGCAGAACAGAGCAGGCAGAGTTGCAGCAAGATGAACCAAGCACATGATTTTTGTTGTTACTGTGCCATGAGGTCTGAGACCAGGGAAGGCAGGGATTGCATAGGAGAGGAGGCTGTCATAATTACCGGATATATGATGTGACTTATTACTACCAACAAAAACTACAGCACCTTCCCAGCAGCAGCAGGAGGATTTTCTGGATGAGAACACTCCATTTCTACCTTGAAGAGTATCAGTTCTTCCTCCACTACCCAGCCCTGCTCAGGGGATAGTAGGGCTATTCCCAGCTACAAAGAAAATGTGTCCTAAATAAATAGAGAAGAGAAAGCCAAATAAAATGTTTGATAATAAAGTCTTGAAGCTGTAGGCTTTTACAGGAGGGAAATAATCTCCACAGCTGGAAGGACACCTCTCCTGGCATCAAGGTCAGAACTTCTTAAGGAACAGAGGCCACTAGGCAGCACAGACTGGCCCCAACCCAAGTGGTACCTTGGGAGCAGTTCCCTGGCTGCTGCCTTCTACATATCCCCAAGAGGAAAAGCAAAGCCACAGCATAAACCCTGGCAATCAGATCATATGTGGCTCCAACTACTGAATCAGTAATTCCTCAGCCCACAGCCCTGTAACACAAGAGGGTGGAGGGGAATGAGAAATGAGCAGAGGGATCTGGGTGACAGGGCAGCAGAGCTTCTCACTGGGAACACATCCTGTGACATGGCACCTCCCAGGCCCTCGCAAAGAATGGAGAAAAGCAAGTTGTAGTATTTGTTTCATGCGTTCATCACAACAGGAACATCAGCCAGATCTAGACTAGGTCCAAGGGATAATCACTGTAATTAGCACTTCGTTCATATAATTACCAGCAGACCCTGTAACATTTTACAATGGAGGTAATTACCCACATTTTACAGCTGAGGAAACAGATACAGTGCAGGTGAGTAACTTAAAAGAAATCATCAGTGAAACTGTGGCACAGCCAGAGGCTGCAATTATCCTTATTCCCAGCCAAGGCTCTCCCCAATAATCCATGCTGAATTCACTTCTGTCTTGTGGGAAGGAATCCAGAGAAAATAAACACAAACTGGAATTTCCAATGTCTAGAAGAGCTGAAAAGCAGACAAGCCAAACCTGAAGGAGAAATAAAAACACATGTTTATCACTGAGCATTTTCTGAACTGAATGTGCATCTAAGAGCGGGGAACAGGCAGAGGACCCTGCTCTAGCAGACACAAAGCCAATGCAGGGTGTCAAGGGCTACAGTTCTACTTCTGAAGCAGAGGAAAAGCAGAAGCACAGGAGAGGGTCAGGGCTGGCTGCCCAATGGCGCCAGCTCAACCCCTCAGCCATCAGAGTCCTTAATGCATGTCAAGAAGTTAGAGATTAAAGCAGGAGCAATAATTAAATTATTTAAGGACTTTGAAAACCAACATACACCCAGAGCAGCAAGCAGGGTGATAAGCCTGAGAAATTCACCCCCACCCTAAAGAGAACCTCCCTGCAGAGTGGCTGCCCCAACAGCCGGTGAGGCCAGAGCAGCACCCAGGCTCTGCTCTGGAAAGGGGGAATTCCCTTCCCCTCTGAGCACAAGAGCAGTGGGAGCAGCAGGATCCAAGCCTAGAACCCACCAGCCCTGAAACATGAGGAGGGTTAGCTGGCACTTGGTCAGTTTGTTGCACAGGGTCAGGTGCTGCACAAGAAATCTGTTTTCCCAGGTAGTCTTGGATAGGAGATACAGACCTGTCCTGTACCTCTGGATGAGTTTCAGTGTTAACAGAAAATGGTGTGTTTGTGCTGACCAATACATCTGATTTTCAAAAGAAGTCAGACCAAAGTGAGCAATTTGCTGCTTCCTATGTTTTATTAAATAAGCAGCACATGCAGATGACACACAGGTGTCTATTGGGTTGAATAAAGCAGATTAGGTTAATCCAACCCCAGCTGCATTACCTGAACTGCAAGACATGCAACGCTCTGAATCTTGTACGTGTGCCAAGGATTTCATTTCAGCCCTTCAGCCTTCTGTTAAGGTTAATACATAAAAGCCTCCAGCAGCAGAAGATACTGCATAGATTTCAAAATTAAGACTTGTTTCAGGAGTGGATGTTGTCAACATTCTGGCTTTGAGTAACAGAAAAACCTCGTAAGCAGGAACAAATCTCTCAATAGAGTATTCTCTCAAAATCTAAACAGACAAATGTTTTGCTTTGCAAACATTTTGCAGCATTTGTGTAGTTCTTTGATTAAGTGTTTGATGAAAACATGTATTTGAGTTACTGCTCAGTGAAAAACAAGCTCAGTAAAGTGAATTAAGTTCCATCATCTCTTGCCATCCAAGGGTCAGCTGTTGCTGTTCCTGCTGTATCCAGGAGCACTGCAGCAAAAACCCAGGGACAGGTTTTACACTGGGGCAAATAGCAGTGCTGTTGCTGGGTCAACAAAGCAGCCTTTCTTGCCAATGTTTACTGTGTTTTAAAGAGGAAATGGGGGACAATTTCTATCTCCCCCTTCCCAAAGGCTGGACCTCCTCCTCCCTCAGCAGCTCTAGCATCCTGGAAGCCCATGCAATAGCTGAACAGGCATAACCCATATTATTTACACCAATTACTGCAAATAATCATCTGCATCTAACACAATACATGGAAATATCACAACAAAGCATGCATCACTCTGTCATCCCACCACCTTGGCAGCTACACCCAGAGAATGCCATGGGTCAGAGTGCTTACCTTATGAAAGAAGGCAGGATGGACATGACAAAACATGAAATGAGACAAAAAAAAAAGAAACAAGACATTCTAACCATCTTTTAAGCTCTGTTTTTTTTTATTATTGACTCCAATTCCCAACATCAGACATTTTTATTTCATTTCTTCTTTTTCCCTGCTATTTGTTCTAGCAGGAGGCAGCCAACAGCCAGCCCTCTGCACAAGGAAGGAGATTTCCTTCAGTTTCCAGACATTTAAATAAAGGTTTTTAAGAACTGCTGCCCTGGAAAGTCAGGGCATTCACATCTAACTGCTGCCAACATAAAATATGTGTTATGAGGAGAAAAAGAGTCTTCAAGAGGTTTTCTTGGGCAAAGTAAGTATTTTTTCCCACTGAGTTTTAAAAACCCTCTTCTGGAGACTGAAGAAATGGCTTAAGATGGTTTCTGGAGGATTCTTCTTCTCCTCAGGATGACAGGTAGCATTAAACCCAAGCCAAAGCCAAATCCCAGCTATCCCAGACAGGCTCGGTGAGGAGCAGCAGTCTGTGTACCAGAACTGACAACTCCAGGTCTACAGAAACAATTACAGCTAAAATTTTGAACAGGAGGGGAAAGGAAAATCCACCTGAATGCTTCAAGCACTGATGGAGGCTGTGACAGTCCAGCACAGCTCATAGCCACAGGGTCAGAGAAACTCACACAGTAACACAGAGGTGCTGGGCAGGGAATTCTGTGAATACTGGATCTGCCACTATTTTAACAGGCATTTCTGCCACACAAGGGTAGTTTAAAAACAGGGATCCTGTGGTTAAGCACAGAGATCAGTGCTGGAAATACCTTTTTCAGGCAGGGATGCCAATTCAAACCTGTTTCCTGAAGCAGGTTCTGGTGTTGATGGTGCATCCTCACTAGGATGAACCAGGTACAACCTGCTAGGGCTGAATCCCTCGAGACTCACAGAGGACTCAGGGGGGAAGGAGACAACTCAGGCTCAGCCCAGCAGGACCCCCAGACAGGGGAGCAGAGCCAAATGCAGTCCAGTTTCCTTGGGGAAAGGGTCAGCAGGAGGGTGTTCAGGTGAGCTTCAGGCTCCTCCAGAGGCCAGGCACCAGCAGAGCGCAGTGGCACTACGTGAACAGCTCTCTACAATTTTAATCTGTAGTCCTAATGAATGATATAAAGTTTTATAAGCATCAACAAGGCTCTGAGAAGACCTAAATCCATTTCAGTGCTCATTTAGCAGCTTCATCTGTGTGCAATTAAAACTTCAGCATTAAATGTTAGAGAATAAAATAATGAGACACTTAAAAAGTAATCTGTACTTCAGTGGGCCGTGCTCAGTGGATTTCATATGATCCTTTACCAGATAAAAATAGAATCTGGCCAAAATCTGTCTTATCCACTGCTTCCCTTTCAAGAGGAAAATGGAAAGAGCCAACTAAGCTTTGGGGGCTTTGCCATCCCACGTACACACAACGCTGCTTCCCTAAGCACAGCCGTGCCTAAAGCACAGCTCCAAGCATTGATAACTTCCCTTTGGGCTCCAATGATAACAGAAAAATAAATGCAAATTGAGTTTCAAGTGAGATTTTCATTTTGGTCTGAAGCCTAATCTTTTATTAAAACAGCTATCAGTTTGGAGCTGATGGTTTGGAAAAGTTAACTTCAGGACAGGAAAAATATTTTAACAGCAAAGAATAGTTCTTATTTGTAAGTGTATCTGAAATGCTCCCAAGGTTACTTTAAGCTACAAAAGTTGACTAGAGGGGGATACAGATGGGCCGTGGACAGGCCACATGAATGGGTTTTACTGAACAAATCAACTGTAGAAAAAATGTGAACTAAAAGCAAAGATGTACATAAATATCAAAATAGATTGAGTGGGAGAACACAGATCAAAAGAAGTATTATACAGGCAACATACACACAGTTAAACTTAAAAGAAGCAAAAACCAACGAAAAATACATATTTTATTAACAACTGAAATAATGTTTATTCAAGAAAAAGCAACATTGGGCATCCTCATAGAAAAGAAAAAAGACATCTGGGGAGGTCAAAGAACGCTACAGTTTAAAATGATGAAATGTTACAGCTTACACACCAAAATTAAAAATGAAATGAAATTAAAAAAATGAAATGGTTACCAAAGTAATGCAGGTCAAGGGATCAAAGGTGAAGGGTCACACACTATTAAAAAGAAATCCAAAAGGGCGTCTGCATCAAGATCTCTGCAAAACAAAGGAGCTTCAGTGAGTAAAACTAGAACCTTCTATGGAAGCACATCAAAGCTCTGCACTCCACACCCAGCCCAAGCAGCAGCACACTCAGCTGCTCTCCTGCACCAGTGGCTGCTGCCCCTCCTGCAGCCACGCTGGGCAACTCCTGTTTCCAGCCACTTTGGCTTGTTATTATTATTAACCTCCCTGTAGAAAGGCTCCTTAAAGTTTTCCCATTTCCACATTGGAGCATTGGTTTCTTGTTTCACAAACTGTTCTCAGCATCGAGGGAATGACGCTGCGCAGCCCAAGCGTCAGCTGCAGGTCCTGCATTGGCACTGACCCCTACCTGTGCCAAGGAGGCTCTGCTTAGGTCAGAACACTCCTGGCTGTCAACACAACTGCTGGATGGCTGCTTTTCAGAGAAAGCTTGACATGCTTTTTCAACAGTTTTCTTTATTCACTGTAACTGTGGAAATCTAGTAATTATTGACACACACGCACGCTGAACCCCTCACATTGTAACGTATTGCTTTAACACTCCAATAAAAAAGTAATTCAAATGTGGTTTCCAAGACAAAGGCCTCTCCTCCTGGAATTTCAATTACACAGAAGCTATAAAACAACCTTTGGTACCCATTTCCAAGCAAGATGCAGTCAATTATCTATACTAAATTTATGCAGGGAACGTAATATTTACATCAGATAACTTTTGGAGAAAGACAACCACCAAGGGCATTTCATTCCTCTTCATTCCAGCATCCCTCCCCCTGCCTGGCAAGGCATTAAGTTTTGGGAGACTCTTATCTGGACCAAACCAGCCCTGTGCTTGAAGCCAAGAAAAAAACTCCCCGCACAAAACCCTGCCTTTGTAAGGCAAAGAAGCCCCCAGTGTCAGAGAATCACCCACTGAGACACAGCACAAGGATCTAATCTGCCTGGATGTTTTTCCAGAAAACATCTCATCTTTCCATGTCATTGCTGCTTCATGTGTGTCACAGTCAGGAACTTGCTGAAGAATGCAAGAAGGTCCTTATTCCCCTCAGCAACCATGTCTGGCAAACCCTCCTGCTAAAGCTACTGCTTGCTGACCTTAAAACTCAGTTCCTGCCATTATTTCCACCATTTATTAATTCCAGTTTCTGTGAGCCAAACCAGTAAATCCACATTTCTGCTGCTCCCTCACTGCTGTGCTGGACTGCCTCCCCTCACCACAGCTCACACTGCAGATGTGCCAGACAACCTCGATATCAAAGAAAGCAGTTTGGAACCCAGCAACTCTGCAATAACTCAACAGCACAGACACAGACTTGCAGTGGCTCATCAGATAAATGAGTCTAAAGGCATCAACATGAGTTGTGTCACCAGGAAGACCCCAGAGCTCAGGAACCTTGGAGGTGCATGACAGGGACATGCCTGCAGGACCACAACTTCTCAGGTAACAGAAAGTTTGCAAAGATGAGTTTTAGGCAACTCCAGGAACATTTTAGCCCTGGGACAACATTGGTGGGGCACGAACCCAAGGTGGGATACAGGGCTCTCCAGTGCCTGGCCCAGTCCAGGGCTGTGTGCTGCAAACAGCTCCCAGCTCCTGCAATCTGTCAACAACAGGGCACAGACAGCAGATACAAAGCAATGAACACAGAGAATTGGGTTTTCTTCTCCCCATTGCAGTGGATTATGCCCTCTCCTGCTGTCCCTAGGACACTGTTCCCCACAAAGACCACTGCTTCTTTACCTCTTTCCCTTAGGTAGTGCCCCAGCAGAAGAAAACCTTTGCTTTCACTTGCATTAATTTTTCCTTCATATCTAGTTTTTCTTTCTAATCTAAATTCTCTGATTTTCTCTTCCAAATGAAACAGCCACCCTTAGAAGCAGCAAACCTGAGACCAAGATGACAGGATTTCAATCCCCTACAAAATATAATCTTCTCAATTCCCATTCATTTGCCAAGTAAACCAATTCCTGTGTACATGCCAGGCCCTGGCAGAGAGACTGAGTTTCTAAATTGACTTTGTTGTACCATTTTCCTTGCATAACACAGAAGCACACCTTGTGTAACACCAGTGAGTATTTTACTCAGTGCTGGGCAAGCCAGAGACCCAGACACACAATGCAATGGTACCTACCACTACTGCTGTGTTCCTGCAGATAAACTGGTAAATACTAACTGAATTAATCCACTTTCCTGACTCCCTCATGTTTCAAGAAGAGTTTCCATAACCAGTAACTCCAAATTTTTATTCCCCACACACCCAATTCCACTTT